GGCAAGTTCGCGCGTCGAGACGGCGCGTGCGTTGGCTACTGGCACCGCGTGGACCGTTCAACTGGAGCGACCGCCGCTTCGCTATCGCGCGGAATGGTTTGATGTCGTCCGATCCTGGGCCCCCAACGGCGTTTCATCTTGAAAGCCCGCGCTGGGGTCGCCGCCGCGTCGACGCGGCATGGACACGCGGCCCCCCCCTGGAGGGGCGCGAAGTTCCCATTTTGGTGAATGGGCGCGGGGGTCATCGTGTCATCAAACTGGCGCGGGGACGGGCATGTCTTCTTGGGATCGATCGCAAATCGACCGGTCAGACTGATGTGTCGATGTGCAGGAAGCGTTGTGGCAATCGATTTCAATTATGGAGACCGTGACATCACCTCCACGCAGCCGAATTCCTTTTTCAAGGACGGCTCTTTCGCCAACAGAGAAATCGAATTGTGCACGCATCTGTAGGCAGAAAGATTCACCGCCAAACTCTTACGCCACAGGGTTGCCTCTGCCACTGCTGTTGTGACATTAACTTGCAGTGGCATCAGCAGGTGAAACGCACATGAACTAAATCACCAGACACAAGCGAGCCGTTGCCAGCAGCGTGACAATGGAACCGTTTGCGCAATTCCTGGTTCGAACCTCAACAAACCCAGCGGGGCCCGCATTGAGACTGGACAAGGCATGTTGGCTTTCAACGCCATCTCACCATGTCCTCTAGCAATGACGACCCCGCTGACAACAACGTGTAACACATTGACAATGGGATTTCCCCTTCCAATGTGAACACTGGCAGTTTCAGCACAGCGGGGGGGCACCAATGTCACCTTGCAGCACTATAAAATGAGACGTCCCACCAGCCATATGAGGCTATGATGGTCTAGCGCGATTTCTCTTCCAACCCCCTTCTTCCCCTTCAGGGACAAGTTTACCACTGCTCGTTGGTAATGAACAACCGCTCACTTGACCGGCCCCGAACCAAGGTCAATGCCGACACAAATAACAGGATTCCCCATATTTTCCCATATGTTCTGGGTTTTAGTCTTCCCCCCCACTTACCATATTTCCCCATATTTTCTGGGGAATCGACAGCTCATTGTGTCTGTGTGTTTTTTCCCTCGTGAATATTGTGTGGTCCTTGTGGGCCCACCAGCCTCCACAAAAACGCCTGCAAAGTGTGTGCGGGCGCGCACACCACAAGCCGTGCCGACCACCCAGCCACCACCTCGCGAGGGCTTCTGCCAAGGACAATGGGGGGTCGGCATGTTTCCCGATGGGTGCCGTCATGTCTACTGGCGCACCTGGCACACTCTGCTCACGCCGCGCACCTGGCGCGGGTGGAGCATGTGGCACACTGGGCGAATGTGGAGCCCGCGGCGCATCTGGCGCACCAGGCGTGCTTGGCACGCTTGGGTCCTGAGGGCGCCTGGCGCACCTGGGAGAGAGGCGCACCAGATCTGACACGCGTGGCGCACTTCGCAAGCGTCACACACCTGGCGTCTGGTTTAGCTCCCAGTGGCTGCCCATCCAATGGCGACCCTTGCCAATGCTGAGACTCGGGTGCTGAATACGTGGTGGGAGGGCGGGTGAGAGTGAGCGAGGCACCCGTCTTTCGGGGGAGCTTGACCCCTCCCCCTGCCCACTCCCCTGGGTCTAGACGGAGGGTTTCGCAAGGCCGTAGGGCGTTTTCGATGGCCGGAGATCGCTCCAAGATGGCCTCAGAGACCCCAAGATAGGTCCTAATGTGGCACACGACTCCCCAATGTGGCTCAAGATAGCTTGACTCCAAGAGCCCAAATGACTGCTCCAAGACAGTTCCAAGTGGCCACAAAGCCTCCCAAAGACGCCCCGATAGGCCAATGTCCAACCAAACTATGAGGAACACATGGCCAGTTCCGGAAACCCTGAACCAGAAAACCGTGCCACCTCTTGGGGGACCGAACTTCATTTCCGCGGACTTCCGCAAGCGGAGCCGCCCTCGTTATACTTCCGCCGGCTTCCGCCGCCCTTCCGCCGATGAAGGGATGCCAGCTTCTTCGATCATCGAAGGCAGGGCCCTTTCTGAAGTGCTCCGCATGATTTGGGCATTCTCGCCTTTTCCGCTTCCAATGGCCTTCTGAGACCTCAAGATGACCCAATATTGCTCAAGAGAGCGCCAAGAGGGACGCAGGAGGGCTCCAAGACGGGCCCAAAAGCGTCCAAATGCGACTGCCGGGGCTACAGCGGAACTGGGCAAATTTCGTAGAAAGCCTCCTCCCCTGGACCCCCGTCGCTCACCGCTAAACTAATCTTCAATCAATAGGTGTCCCAAGGTGTTGGCACATCAGGGGCATCCTCGGGTGGCGAATGGGCAAACGTAGCTCCAAGGTGGCCCCACGGAGCTGACGGTGGCCTCCACGGTGGAACAATGCTGCCCACTGTGGCCCACAATAGAACTCCCAATCTGACTCCAAGAGGCCCCGAGACCGCTCAGAGACGGCTCCGAGCGTTCACGGAGCCTCCCAGCGACGCCCCCCAGGCCCACACCCTTTTTCAAATACTAGAAGTGGGTCGGGAATATCCTCCTACAGGCGGGTTTTGAACGAACACAGTCAAGCAATGACAAAACATATCGAAACACATGAAAGTCGTCCCCATACTATAAGTCTAACTGTCGTTGAGTAGTCCTCCTGTAGGAAGGACATGCCCGACATAACACTAGAAACACATGTTTCGGGCGCCAAGAGGGGCCCAGGAGGGCCCCAAGACGGCCCCAGGATTCCCCCGGAGCGCCCAACAAGCGGCCCGAGAGGGCCCCACGAGGCGACGCGTCGAGTCCGACATGGGTGGTGGCGCGAAGCCGCGTTGTTTGACGAACCTAGAACAAAGGGTTCCCAACGTCGCGCTTCGCGCTGCGCGAAGCGCGAAGTGCGAATAACTTCGCGCTCTCGCGCCGCCTCCCAGGGGAGAAGAGGAGGATGAGGAGTAATCGGCGCCGAACCGCGGAGCGCGACTAACTTCGCGCCCTCGAGGGCGCCCTTGTAGAAAGGTGGCACCCGATGCCAACAAGAGGGCATTAAGCATGGCTTCGATCAAAGTTGTCCTAGCAGGCTGCCAAGAGGCTCCCAGCTCGAAAGATCCAAGAGGGCACGTATGATTGACTCCTGGGTCTGCGCATGCTGATCCTGAGCTTCGACTTGGCGACTGCACCCCCATCTTTGTTCCACTAGATGCTCCTGCACGTCCCTGTTAAGGGCAACTCGACTGGGCTTCATTTCTGGATGGGCTGGTGGGGGTACTTTTTTAGTCAGCGGCCGCAGGCGAAGGCGCCGACGGCGTGTCCAGTCAGAGCGTGGCGCACAAAGACGAATTAACCACTGGTGGGGGTACTTTTTTGATCTGCGGCCCAAAGGACGGCTCCAGAGGGCGGGTCAATCAGGTCGTCTGGGGCACAGAGCGAGATAATGTGCGAATCCAGCCGTCCCTGTCGACAGCCGACCGCACCTGCAAGCATGCTCGCAGTTGCACATGCACAGAACAAAAAGAACTAAATTCAAGGAGACGCATCTTAGCGTCGACTGGTGGGAACGGGCGCGGGAAGAATGCGAGGAGTCGCCGAAACGGCGCCAGCTCAACACGACGAGGGGAGGGAGGAGAGAACGAAAAGAAGGGGGGAGGCAGCAGACTGGAAAGCCGGCGGAGGGTCGCACTGTGGCGCCAGCCCCCACAGACCAAGCCTGCGAGAAAGCGGGAACGCTGTGCAGGCAGCACAGAGCCCGAGGAAAGGCACCGCCAAACGCGGCGAGGAGGAGCAGAAGGGGAGACAGGCGCAGGACAGGCGCGGGCGGCGACGAGGGGAGGGGGGGGGAGGAAACCACTGGTGGGGGTACGCGAAGCGTCAAACATTCCAGCAAACATTCCAGAATCAATTCCAGGGTATGTCACCTTTCATGTGCCGGTGCATTCACTAGTGCAAGTACTTACACAACCACGCTGAAGCCCCAATCCGCGTTATACGCAAATAGGAGGCACACCTACACAAGACGACGTATGGGGCATTGTAAAACACATACACGCGTGTACACGTACACACTTGTACACATACACATACGGGTACACACAAACACGTGCGAATGCACATATACATACAGGTACACATGTATCCGTCCAGGTGAAAATATCTTAGAACGGCAGCATACAACGGCTCCAAACAAGGACATGAAAGGACCAACGGCAGCCTGGAAACAAAAGGATCCAGGCGGACGTTGCGCGAGCCCTGTAAATCGTAAAGGACGCCTCCTTTTCTTCTGTATTATCCGTCACCTAGTCCTTCTGCGCATCCTACTCGTCTTCCACCTCCTCATCCTCCTCCGCAATCTGGACCCGACGGCGGTCATGGTGACGAAAGTCATCAAGTGTTCGTGCGGACGCCGATGGGGAGGGGGAGAGAGCGTGGGCAAGGGCCACTTGTACAGCCGCAGTAACTGCGTGTGCGATGTGACTGCGCAAAGCGGACGTCGTCAAATGTGATCAGCGGGAGAGAAGAATGACAAGAAAAGGTGGAGCGGAGGTAGTGTAAGGACAGATGGGACGCAGGATGGAGAGATAAGGGATATACAGGTGGGGTGTATGGTGCAGCTGCGTAGAGGGATACACATTGACACACAGGGGGGGGAAAACAAACACGAAAGCGCGTGTGATAACGTATGAGAAGGGCGCAAAGGAGCGCCCCCCACCCTCAACATGGGAAGTCTGCACTCGGCGAGAGATGACTCCGCGCTGTTCGCGACAGCAGCATTAGCAACAGGAGCAGCGGCACCAGAACGTGACACGAACAGCGCCATCCTCTATCTACCTTCCGATTGCAGCGCTCCCCAATACACATGATGCGTCTACCGTGGCAGAACCAGCAGCGGCAGCACCACTGGCGACGAACTGCTGAAATCACTGTAACGGAGGCAGCAAGAAGCAGGAGAAGGAAGTGCAGCAGGACGAGGCAGCGACTTTCTGAAGAAAACCCAGAAGGAGGCAGCCTTTCCACTCTCAGCATCGGCCCGCCGACCAAGTACAGCAGGGGCGGGAGGAGTGTCAGGTTTACGGCAGTCGTCGTCGCGCTGCACAGGGCGATCGAAATGCAGAGGGACTTGACTGACACGTTCGGGATGAGGAGCCTCAGTGCTCAAGCAGCTGGCAAGAGCCACGCGCAGCCCAGGACAGCAATCGAGAAATGTGCAAACCATGCCTGACATTGGTGTGTGTGTGATGCGAGGCCGGCACCGCGCTGGGGCCGAGAGAGAGAGAGAGAGAGACAGAGAGATGGGGCGGAGGTAGAAAAAAGGTGGTACCGGTTCCCCTGGGATGATTCGGATTCATATTTAGGGTGGACGATGGGGCAGAATCGTGTGTAAATTGCAATACGGAAAAAGGGGACGATAATCCCAGGGGGGTCGAATCTATTATTGCTGCTAAAAAAAGAGAATGTACGGGTGAATCTGTTCTCTTTGAAGAAAAAGAGAATTGATTTCTACGCGCGAACAGACGCACCCCACGTTCTTGCAAACATCCCACCCACCCACCCGCCACTTGGTCTGCAGAACCCATGCGGCGGCGATTGCGATGAGTGCTTGGCGTTGGCCGGTGCATCTCTGCGGCCGCGCCAACCCAAACACGCGTGCGCGGCGGCCAGCTGGCCAGCTAGTTTGGCGCGACCGACGCGGCCGCGGTGGCGATGACCGCTGGGCACATCCCAGCGGGCACTTCAATGCGAGTCGGCGACTTGGGCGGGCGTGGTATCATGGCAACGTCGAAAACGGTAGACGCGATGATGGTAATAGCGGTGCTGGTGACGATGTTGACACCGACGACGGCACGGCCAGTGACGGCGCCGATGCTGATCACGCCGACGACGATGACAGCGTCCTCGCGTCGGTGATAAAAAAGGTTTTGGAAGGAGTTCGACATGCGCGCGCGGCCGACGCGCGAGAGTGGCCCGCATGGTGTTATTTGACACGGATCGTGCCCACCCAACACGCGCGCAAGGGCTTGGGAATGATTTCGGCCTGCGGCACGAGAGGCCCCTTTGGCCAAATTCCATGATACTTATGACCAAAAGCGATGATTTCTTAAGATTTCGCCAGAGCGCGAGCGCAGGACTTTTTGAAAACTGATGTTGCGAAACCATGTGTTGTTATATGGTGTCGGGACACTCGGTTTTGAAATCCTTGCGAAAATTCAGCTTTTGACTGAATTCGGCATGCACACGCGACGACGCGCGCGCGTGCACTTCGTCCCGTTTCTGTTGCAATGGATTCTTGCGACGGCACGCGCGCAAGGGCGTTCGAATGATTTCGACATGCGCGCGCGAAGCCCGTTTGATCGACTTATAAAACATGTTGAAACACCGATGGTTCCTCAAAAATCCGCAAGAGCGCGAGCGCAAACAATTGTTGAACATCCGTGTTGCGAAATAAGGTTATGCAACATGCTTTTTTGGCACACGATTTTGAAATCCTCACGAAACCGATGGTTTTCCAAGGATTTCGGCGTGCGCGCGCGACGACGCGCGCGTGTGTACTTCGTCCAACAGTTTGTACGTTGTTTTTGAAAACTGCTGATTTTTGAGAAACGACTGCGCGCGCATAGTTTTTTTCCAGAGGATGGCGGGCGGGGTCGATACCGGTCCCGCTGGGAAGGTAGGAATTCATATGTAGGATGGACGATGGGGCAGAATCATACGAAAAAGAGGGCCCGATAGTTCCCGGGGGAGGTCGAATCTATTCTTTATTATTATTATTATTATTTAGAAAAATCTACACGACGGTGACGGCGGCGACGGGCGGCACCGCCCGCGAAAGCCGCCACTCGCCCCGAGCGGCGGCGACGGCGACGGCGGCGACGGCGGCGGCGGGCGGCACCGACGGCGGCGACGGGCGGTCACCGCCCGCAGAAGCCGCCGCTCGCCCCGAGCGGCGGCGACGGGGCACCCTCGAAACGGAGCGGCCAGAAGTGCAACACGCGCGGCTGCTGCACCGGTGGCGTGCGGCTCCTTTCTAAGACGAGGAGGAGGAGGAGGGAGGAGGAGGAGGAGGAGGAGGAGGAGGAGGGAGGAGGAGGAGGAGGAGGGAGGTTTTGTGCTCCTGCCTTTTGGCATTCCACGCGTCGCCAGAAGGGCGCAGGGCAGCTCAGCTTCAGAACGGGGCCCTCGCCCGAACGCCGGGCCCGCAGGGCCATCGTCCGTCGAGGGGGCGCCTCTCGCAGCAAGAGGCGGAGGTCTGCAGGGACCTGCGAGGGGGGGACTTGGGACGCGAGGGTGTCCTGCAGCGTCGCTGACGCATGCTGTGTTTACTCTGATCCTCCTCCTCCTCCTCCTCCTCCTCCGCCTCCTCCTCCCCTCCTCCTCCTCCTCCTCCTCCTCCTCCTCCTCATCCTCCTGCTTCCGATTCTCATCCTCACCCCATCCTCGCTCCCATCCCCGCGACTTGCACATCGCTCCCCTGACCTCTTCCGGGGTGCGCTCTGATCAGAACCCCGAGCGGGGGCCAGCCACGGAGGGCAGGATGCCCCCCCCTCCCCTGCCCCCGAGAGGGGCCCCCAAGAAGAACCAAGAGCGCCCACAGCCTGGATCCTCGATCCTCGACTCTTACTATTTCTTCCTCCTCCGCTCCCGAAGGCGCTGGCGACCGCGCTCGATCCTCCATCCTCGAGCCTCGACGTTCTTCGCTCCACCCCATCCTCCCTCCTCCCTCCATCCCTCCCTCTTCCTCCTCCTCCTCCTCCTCCTCCTCCTCCTCCTCCTTCCCCCTCCTCCTCCTCCTCCTCCTCCTCCTCCTCCTCCTGCTCCTCCTCCTCCTCCTCCTCCTCCTCCTCCTCCTCCTCCTCACTCCCTCCCTCGGCACGCCGAGCCGCAGAGCCCCCCGAAGTTCGCCACGACCATGATGAAGCCGCTGATGAAGATGGTGCGGCCCGACGAGGCCAGCGAGGTCGCCAGCGCCTCGCGGAGGGGAACGGGGAGAGGTCGAGGCTCGAGTAGGGAGAGCTCCAAACAATACACCACCACCAGCCCAGGCCAGGCCCATCCTGGGCAGGCCATCCTGGCCTGGCCATCCTGGGCAGCCCTGGCCGGACCCATCCTGGCCAGGCCATCCTGGGCAGGAGGAGGAAGAGGAGGAGGAGGAGGAGGAGGAGGAGGAGGAGGAGGAGCAGGCACCGCCTTCCTGGAGGTCTGGCCCTCCAGACACTGTGCCCACAGCTCGGGGTGCCTGCGGCTCCGCTGCCGTGGTTCCCCTCCCCTCCCCTCCCCCGAATTCTGCACGACACGGTGTTCGAGACGGGCAAGGGCGAGGACTCTTTCCCAGTCCCGCTATTTCTCACCCCGTTCTAGAGTGTAGGCCACGAACCCAAGCCTTCAGGGAGCGAGCGAGCGAGCCAGGAGGAGCAGGAGATGACGCTGCGGGCGAATCGCCGCCCCCACAGCATACCAAAGAACACGCGCAGGAGAAGCAGGAGGAGCAGGAGGAGCAGGAGGAGGAGCAGGAGGAGGAGGAGGAGGAGGAGGAGGAGGAGGAGCAGGAGCAGGAGGAGCACCAGGAGGGAGGAGGAGGAGGAGGAGGAGGAGCAGCAGCAAGAGTAACAGACCCCCCCCCCTCCCAGACGGCATCGGGTGGCGCAGCAGGACAGCGTGGGTGGCCTTTCTCCGCCTCCCTCCCCCTCCGGAACGGGTTGAATGCGCCCCGGCCCCGGCCACGTCCGAACGCGTGGGGCGCGGGGTGGCGTCTTGTGGGGGCGGTCGGCTCGTCAGCGTTGCGAGAGAGAGAGAGAGAGGAGCAGGACTAGCACGTGGTTGAGGATGGAAGGCTAGGGATTGGCCGACCCGACACTACTCCGAAACCTTCAGCCCCAGGCCTTTGTCACTGGCTATAGCAGCCCCCTGCATGCAGTTTGAAGCACAGCCCTACAGCTGCAAAAGGATGGCAGAGGCACGTGCATGAGAACGGCGCGTGCACTCTCTTTCCCCTGAGCCTCGAAGCCCCGAAGGGTGCGGCAACAGGGGTGCCTGATCCGCGTGTGACATGCACAACAGACAACGCGAACGTCCGTGTCACACGCGAAAACCAAACGCATCTCATGTGGGACAGATGGGCCACCACACGGAGCCAGGTCCGCCCATGGGGGGACCTGCAAAGGATGAATAGGGGAGCAAAGATATGTCTCCGCTGGTGGCTAACCGTCACCTTCCTGGTCAGCTTAAGCTGCTGCAAGGGCTTCGCTCACGAGCTGGGCCAGGGGGACGGGAGGGAGACTCAGCACAATCGGGCTATGGGCGGCACTCTTAGGGTGTCGGCCAGACCTCGCACGCTGTAGCTGCAGTTTGGCTCCGCTGTGAGGAGGTCTCATGCTGCGCTGGCCTTGCGATGCCTTGCAGTCCACGCGAGCCGCCCTGCTTAAACGAACCACAGCGATGACACACCATAATGCTCGTGGGCTGCTCGAGGTGTTCATACTAGAGTAGGTCATGCCCCTTGAGGTTAGAAGTGAGGTCGGACATCTGAGCACAGTGTCCAAGGCAGTCCATAGCATTCCGCATTCGTTCCTCCTCGGCTTTGTGGGAGCGGGTACGGATGCTGCGGATCGTGCATCGGTGCTGGCCACTGACAAAAGCGAGAACATGGGCCTTCGGGGACGCGCGAGGGGCCGCAGGAGGAGGCGGAGGAGGCGGGGGGGGGGTACAGGGCCACGGGCCTCAGGATCCCAAGAGGCCAGGGACGAGGCGGCCCCAGAGGGGGGGAAGAGGCTCTGAGCAGGCTTTGCCAGCGCCTTGTTCCTACGCGGGGCTGCAGCTGGCCACTCTCCGAGGGCTTTGGCAGCACATCGAAGGCAGTTCTAAATTCTTCGCGCTCGGGGGCCAGGGATTCGGCATTCTTGTGATCTTTCGCCTTCTGGAGCAGCGGGCCCTTCTTAGGGAGCCCATACCGCCCTGCCTGGGATGGTACGATCTCAGATTTAGGACGGACGATGGGGCAGAATCATCTGCAAGTTGCAATACGAAAAAGTAGCCCGTTAACCCCAAGGGGGGTAGATCCTAATACTCTTTGTCATAATTCAGATGATATGTGCGGCGCGATTGGTTTTTACAAGCGAGTTGACATACTCCACGCCCTTGCAAACATCCCACCCACCCACCCGCAACTTGGTTTGCAAAACCCATCCGGCGGCGATCTCGATTGGTGTTTGGCGTTGGCTGGTGCGTCTCTGCGGCCGCGCTAGCCCGCGCATGCTCGCGCGCACAGCGGCCAGCTACAGGCTCAGAAAGGTTTTCTCCGAACGCCGCCACATGGTCCAATGCCGCATCATGCAGGATCAAGAATTCAACGCCCTCGCTCGGGCGAAGACATGAAACTATCTGGCACCCCGAAGTTGCCTGCGACCCTCGCGCCTCCCAGGGGCGAAACACAACGAGACTTCCTTTCGAGCAGAAGAGCGGCTCAGACCGCGAGAGAGCGCGGGCTCTCCGATGTCAGTGGCCATCGGGCCCGCCCCCGGCGGGCCCGCCCCCTGCGGGCCCCCCCCTGCGAGACCGCCCCCTGCGGGCCCTCGGGCCGCCGAGGCACCGGCGGCGCCGGCCACGGCGTCGGCAGAGGCCGCGGCGTCGGCGGCGGCATGGGCATCGGCATCGGCGCCCGACGTCGTGACTTTCGCGGCCCGAGCGCTGCTCCTCCTCCTCCTCCTGCTGCTTCGGCCCCGTCGGGGCCGTGTCCGGGCCCCGACGGGGCCATCGAGAAGCAGTGAAGCTCAAAACCGGTCCCAGGGAAGGGGTCGGGAGCCCGGGGCGCCGACGGGCCAGGAGACACACGACGTCGGACGTGTCTCCCTCCCTGCCTCCCCCCCTCCTCCCTCCCTCCCCTCCGCCATGACTTACGCATTCTGAATACATCTCTCCCCTCACCCCCTAACCTGGGCGGCCTGGGCGTGAGATGTACTACCCCGCCGCGTGTGCTTAATAACCAGGATTCGAAGAGCTCGTCTTTCCTCTGTGCGTTTCCACTCGGGACGTGTTCGGCCGCTCTGAGGGGGCGCTCTCGCCTCGGCGCCCTCCCCCCCCCCACCCTCTCGAGAGAGGTCAGGGGGAAGGGGGGGGGCGAAGGATAAGACATTTTCTGGGTGGGGGCGCCTCTCCCCCCCCCCCGGGAGAGGACAGGGGGGGGGACCCCGCTGTATAATTCTGGACCCGACATTAACAAGACAATTTGTGTGAGCGACGGTTGCGCTCTGTGATACAGTGACCGAACACACTGCGCTTCGGATGTCCGCACCCACTGCCCCTGTTGTACTGTAACACAACCGTGCAGAATGTGGGACAGCATGCGTGTTCAGTGGTACACTCCGTCCTGCTTCGCGCGTTTGCACCCAAGACGTGTGAGAAATGTCGGCTCGCTGCGGCACACACATCTACAACACCCAATGTGCCTTGGGAGCACCCAGGGACCATAGCGTTCCGAATGTTTACGCCCACCACGTGTGTGAATGAATGATTCCGTCACTTCGCTGAAACCGTGTGGCAACATACAATGGGACGCACAAAGACATACTAGCACTACATGTTCTCGTTGGAGGCGCGCGTCCGACCCAAACATATAGTAGACCCATATTGTGGTATATCGTTTCCCGAGCGGTGTGGCCAGAACGCGCCAGCCACGATGCATATACTCAAATATTTCTCGGTGCGCGCATCGCCCCCGGGGGGGCGACGCAGATATAGTATAAGTGTGTTGGGGTGACGCCGATACAATGTGTCTCGGAGCGTACGGCCCCCCCACGACGACGATGACGCCGACGACGAGCACCACGACGACGATGATTTTGACGACCACGACGACGACGACGACGACGACGACGACGACGACGACGACGACGACGACAGGACGACGACGACGTTGACGTGCGCTCTCGCCCGAACGCCGGCCACTCCCTGGTTCTCGCCTCATCGCTGGCCAGTGTTTCGGTCTGGCCGACCGGCAAGGAGAGGCCGCTCTGGGACAGAATGGGCGAGACTGAACAAACGAGGACCACTCATTGAATGTCCGCTGATAGGGAAGTGGGGGTGGATAAAAGCAATGCGAACGTGGACGACGAGGGGAGGAGGAGAAGGAGGAGGAGGAGGAGGAGAATGAAAAAGTGTAAGATGTAGTCGGGGCATGCCCGCGCCGCAGACTGGGCAACTTGCGGAGATTTCTCCTGACATGCGCGCTGTGTGCCAGATCGAACTAGGGACGTTGCAAGCTCCCCGCGAAAATCAGGGCCCCAAACCAGGCAAATGGCAAGGACGTCTCAATCGAAACCGCGCCCAAACCAGGGGGAACCGACCAAATTGGAGGACGTCTCACATGAAACTGCGCCGAAGCCACACGAAACAAGGAAATTGCGAAGAGGTCTCAGGCGACACCGGGCCCAAACCAGGCGAAACCAACGCGAGGCCAGGCAAAATGCGAGGACGTTTCAAGCGAAACTGTTCCGAAACCATACGGAACCAAGCAAATTGCGAGGACGTCTCAAGCAAAACCAAGCCAAAACCAGGCGAAACCAACCGAAACCAAGCAAACTTCGAGGACATCTCAGGCGAAACCGCGCCGAAACCAAGCCAATTGAAAGGACATCTCCAGCGAAACCGGGCCCAAACCAGGCGAAACCAAGGGGAAACCAGGCAAAGTCCGAGGACGTCTCAGGCGAAGCCAAACCTAAACCAGGCCAAACAAAGGCAATTGCGAGGACGTCTCAAGAGAAACCGTGCCCAAACCAGGCCAAGCCAGGGGCCAAACCAAGCAAATCCCAAGGATGTCTCAGGCGGCTTGCGCCACCCAACCAAGTCAAACCAGGCCAGACCAGGCAGATTTGGAGGAGACGTCCAAAGCAGAATCGCCCAAACCAGGCTCCACCCACTCTCTCTAACAAAATTCCAATTAAAGGAATGGATCACCCCAGGACCCCCCCCGGCGCGAGCCCGTTTAGAATTTTATGGGGTGGGGGCTATTGGACCACATGTCCGATGAGGCGGACGGGGTTGGGCGCGGAAGGTTTCGTTTGTCTTTCGGTTGTTCTTGGGGCCTTGGTGTGGCGTAAGGAGAAATGCTTCCGAGTCTATTATTTTATCGCGACCGACGCGGCCGCGGTGGCGCTGACCGCTGGGCACTTCCCAGCGGTCACTTCAGTGCGAGTCGGTGGCTTGGGCGGGCGCGGTATCATGGCGATGCCGACAACGGTAGACACTATTACGAAAGTAGCAATGATGGTGACGATGGTGGCGATGTCGACGGCAAGTCCAATGACGGCGCCGATGTTGATCACGACTGCCGATAACGTTGACGATGTCCTCGCGTCGGCGATGAAGGTTTTTGAAGGAGTTCGACATGCGCGCGTGGCCCGCGTGGTATTTTTGACACGGATCGTGCCCCCCAAACACGCGCGCAAGGGCGTTCGAATGAGTTCGACATGCGGCGCGAGAGGCCCGTTTGGCAGAATGTGATGAACATGATGGAAAACTTATGTTTTTTTGCGAATCCGCAAAACCACAACCGCAGGATGTTTTGAAAACTGATGTTGCAAGACCATGTGTTTCGCTATGGTTTAGGGGCACTCGTTTTTGAATTCCCTGCGAAACCTAAGGTTGTTAAAGGGTTTCGGCATGCGCGCGCGCGTCGACGCGCGCGCGCGTGTGGACTTCGTCCCATCTGTTGCAAGGGGTTCTTGCGACAGCATGCGCGCAAGGGCTTTCGAACGATTTCGACACTCGCGCGCGAGAGGCCCGCTTGGTTGCATGCTGTGCAATACTGAACAACCTAAAGTTTTCTTAAGAATTCGCAAGAGTGCGGACGCAGGTTTTCTTTGAAGACCAGTTTTGCAAAACCACCTGTTGTTTTTGGAAACCCTTACGAAACCGTCGGTTTTTGAAGGATTTCGGCATGCGCGCGCGACGACGCGCGCGTGCACTTCGTCTAAGTTTCGCTTGCATGGGATTCTTGGAAACTGATGATCTGTGATAAACGAGGGCGCGCGCATAGAATTTGCTGCAAAGGGTGAGGGGGGAACCGATAACGGCCTGCCTTAGATGGTATGAAGCCATTCACAAGATGGACGACGTGACAGAATCATATGCAGATTGCAAAACGAACAGGTGGCCCGTTAACCCCTGGGGGGGTCGATCCTAACACTATTTCAGAAAGGAGAACCTCTGTGGAGCAATCTGTTTCACGCAATCCAGGCGGCGACGGGTGCGGCGACGGCGACCACAGGGCCGCCAGACCAGCACCCCAGCCCAGACGACGGACGGCGACGAGGCGGCGACGACCAGGCGACGGCGACCACAGAGCTGCCAGACGGGCACCCGGGCCCAGATGACGGGCGGCGACGAGGCGGCCACGGGGCGGCGACGGCGACCACGGACCCGCCAGAACGGCACCGAGGCTCAGCTCCCCTAGGGCAGCAGGTCGGAACCCCTGTGCAAGGACTGTTTGGGGAATATCTACCTGTATACGACCACCCTTCGGGTGATGAGGAGGCTGGGGGGTGGGGGGCGGAAAGAACCAACTGCTGGCAAATGCGATGGGTGTGTTGATGACGATGCTGGTGACGCGCCCTCGAGTTGGCGACGACGCGCGATGACGATGTTGCGCTGCGATGTAATGGCACAATCGTCCCCGCTTTCGATCTCACTCGATCGATCCCCCTATCGACCTCACAGGATCGATCACACTCGATCGACCTCACTACCGATCTCACTATAGATCTTGCTTTCGACCTCACGATCGATCTCAATATCGGTTCCTCTATCGATCTCACTTTCGATCTCACTGTTAATCTCACAACCAATGGCACAGTCATCCTCTCTGTTGATCTCACTTTTGATCTCACTATCCATCGCATTCGATCGATATCATTATCGATATCACGATCGACTTCGCTATTGACACCAGGCGGGACACACCCGGGTCACCGCCCGCCCACCGCCGACGGAACACCGACGGGACATCAGCGGGACACAAAAGTGACACCACGGCGGGACACCCCGGGCCACCGCGCGCCCACTGGGGGCGGAGGGGTGGTCCACTGCATCCGAATCGCCCTAGCGACGGCGGGGTCATTCGTCGCGTGCCCACGCAGCTTCGCCTCGCCCGCACGCACGACACGGCACGAAACTGAAACCGATTTTCCGGTGGGGGCACTGCGATCTCACCCCGCAACCGCCGATACATGTGTATCGGAGGTTGGGGGGTGAGATCGCAGTGGAACGGAGACCCCCACCTGGGAAATCGTTTCGTTTCGTTCGTGTCGTGCGTGCGGGCGAGGCGAAGCTGCGTGGGCGCGCGAGAGGAATGAACCCTCGCGAAGTCACAACAAATGATTCTCCTCCGCCCGCCCGTCCGGCGGTGGCTCGCGGTGTCCCGCGGTGTCCCGTGGTGATCCGTGGTGTCCCGTGGTGTCCGCCGTTGATAAGGCGACAAATGATTCTCCTCCGCCCGCCCGTCCGGCGGTGGCTCGCGGTGTCCCGCGGTGTCCCGTGGTGTCCCGTGGTGTCCCGTGGTGTCCCGTTGAGTGAGATCGATAGTGAGACCGATAGTGAGATCGATAGTGAGATCGATGTGGCGTCCCGAGGTGTCCCGTGGTGTCCCGTGGTGTCCTATGGTGTCCCATTGAGTGAGATCGATAATGAGATCGATTGAATCAGATGTTGGTTCACACCCCCTCGCCCCCCGGCACAACCTCCTTATCACCCGAAGGGTAGTCGTATAGGCATATGTATATACATGGAAGATGAACAATGAATATGAGTTGCATGTGTATTGCGTGTGCCTTGACAGCACGTTTCATCTGTATTGCACGTGCAATGCATGGATCCTGCGCGATGGTGCGATCCTACCGCAGCTGACAGCATGCGCTCTGCACGTGCGCTGCGTGCGCACTGCCTGTGCCCTGCATCTGCGCCGCGTTTGCCTGGCATGTACGCTCTCTCCCTCCGCCCTTCCCATCTCGACTCGCCGGCCGGCCGGTGCTGAGCCGCCGCGCGGCGGCCTGACGGTGCGTCGACCCTCTGGCCAACTCGTCCCTGCGAGCGGCGGCGCCGGCGCCGCCCGCCCGCTCCGGAGCAGGCGGCCGAGAGGCTCGCCCAGGTCAGCTACACGCAAGGGTGACCCTATGAGCCTCGTCAGAAATCCGCCGGTCCCCTTGCGGGGCCATCAGGCTGCGAGGCTTAGGCTTGCTGCTCCCGGCTCCAGTTGCAGGTTGCAGCTCCCATTCTGATAGCTTCACTTTCTGCTTCCTACTGTAAATTGTTAAAGTCCGCGCGAGGGGGGGGAGCCCCATAGGACCCGGTTACCACGCCTGGATCGCGTTCTCTGAATTCATGGGGGGGCGTAGGACATGCAAAAGTACATGAGATTCACGCCCCCGAGGCCATAATCCCATATGAATTACTTAAAATTCGCGTCCCCGAGGCCACAAACCCTCGCAAATGATACAATTCTTGCGTCCCGGAGGCTTGAAACCCTTTTAAATTAGTCAATAGTTAGTCGCGCCCCCCAGGCAACAAATCTTTGTAAATTATAAAATTCTCGCGTTTCCGAAGCCATAAACCTTGGCAAATTACACCGTGTTCGCATTGCCGGGGCCAAGAGTACTCCAAGGCGCCCGAAGATGTTTCCAAGACGGCCCAAGAGGGTCCACAGAGGCCCCAAGAGCACTCCAAGAGGCCTCCCGAGAGAGCCCTAGGAGGCCAACATCGTAGATTTTACAAAACGTTTTTGAAGGATGTTTGCCTTCTCTCATTTTCGGCTTTCCGACGCTCCAAGACAGCTCAATAAGCTCCCAAGACCGCCCCAAGACAGCCCAAGACGCCTCCAAGAGGGCCCCAAGACGGCCCAAGAGGGCTCCAAGATGGCCCAAGAAGCGCTCAAGACGGCCCAAGAGGGCCCCAAGACGGGACCACAAACCGAACATTCGATAATTGTACCCCGAGAAGCCCCCAGGAGGCCCCAAGAGGCCCCCAAAGGCGCCCAAGACGCGCCCAAGAGGCCCCCAAGAGGCCCAAAAGATCCCCACGAGGCCCCAAGAGGCCCCGAAGAGGACCCCAAACCGCCTCCAAGAGGCCCCCGAGAGGCTCCCCACGACCCCCCAACACATATACAAGAGGCCTCAGACCCACAACCGATGCACGGTGGAGGGATGGGCCGAAGGCCACTAGGATAACGCCAACGTCTCAATATGCGCTGATGATTCCTATCCGCCCCCGCATGATGCTCCCAGATGCGCCAAGGCGGCGCCGAGACGCACCGACGAGACTCTGATGTATCCCATTCTGACAGAGAGGGGGCTGGCGGCAGGGGGCGAAGCCCTTAGGGATACATTGAGGCGCCGTTCAAGATCGAGGCGCCCGATAGTTCGGGGACCTGTCGAAAAGCTCCCTCTTCAATAGGGGCCCAAAAGTATACACCACCACCACCTCCCTCCCTCCTCCCTCTCGCTGGAAAGGGGAGCGAGGAGGAATCGAGGTGGTGGTGGTGTATATTCTTTGGACCCCATTCAATGCTGCGAGGGCACCGCAGGATTGCGGACGCGCCAACGTGCGGGCCGAACACTTCATCCGGGCACTGACGAAGCGCCGGCCGCGCAAGCGCCGAAAACAAGAACCGTATACTTAGGTCGGGCATGTCCTCCTACAGGCGGATGTGGGGCGTTTAGATTGTTGTTGTTGTTGCTGATGTTGCTGTTGCTGTTGTTGTTGTTGCTGTTGATGTTGTTGTTGGTGTTGTTGTCTGTTGTTAGTGTTGTTGTTGTTGTTGTTGTTGTTGTTGTTGTTGTTGTTGTTGTTGTTGTTGTTGTTGTTGTTGTTGTTGTTGTTGTTGTGAGTTCTCATTTCTGAAAAATACCGGTAATTATTGTTGATCCCCCCCACCGGTGCATACTGTTTTTTCTCAATCAAAGTGGGCCCCTCGACGCACGCACCCTGTTTCTTGACAGGGGAAGTCTTGATGCTCAAACTGGGCCCCTGGCCCCCCGGTTACAACAACAACGGCTCCCGCCTGAGACTTCCTTACAATTTAGCCAGGATCCCCGCTCCCGCCCGAGACTTCCTCACATTTTATTCAGGAATCCCGCTCTCGCTTGGGACTTCCTTACAATTTATTCAGGAATCGCTTTCCCGGCGCTCTGGAGTCGCGCTCTGGCTGGAGACTTGCTTGCGACTTACTGAAGAATGGCCTTGCGTTGGATTTTCCTGTAATTTGCCCGAGCGCCGCGCTCCCGACACCCAGGCACCCAGGAGTCGCGCCCGCTGTGGCCCCATGTGCATGCCCTTCGTGGCCCCGCTGTCGCCATTTGTGTCCCCCTCACTGTCCTACGTGGCCCAGTTGCTACCCTCAGTGGCCCCATAGTTGCCTTCTGTGGCCCCGCATTATCTGCACTTCGTGGCCCCCGCTCGTTCGCGCTCTTCGTGGCCCCATACGCATTCCCTTCGTGTCCCCGCTGTCGCCCTTCGTGGCCTACTTCGTGCCCTTCGTGGCCCTGCTGTCGTTCTCTCTCGCTCTCGCTTTCGCTCGTCGTCGCCGTCGTCGTCGTCGTCGCCGTCGTCTTCGACGTCGTCGTCGTCGTCGTCGTCGTCGTCGTCGTCGTCGTCGTGGTCGGTCCCCTGTCCGTCCCTCTTGGGGTCGGGTCGACGGTCCGCGGCCGCCCCGCCGATCAGCGCTGCCGCTGGCCAGGCCGACGGTCCGCGGCCGCCCCGCCGCTTGCCTGGGCCCGGCCTGCAGGGAAGAAAGGTATACCCCCCAAAAGGGGTTCGATCGAAGACGAAGAGGGCGGGTATCGAGGGTTTGGGAAATAAGGGCGAACAGTCTTAAAATTATGATTGTTGTTGTTGCTGCCGTTGTTGTTGTTGTTGTTATTGTTGTTGTTTGTTTGTTTGTGTGTGCGCCTGTGTTTGTGTGTGTGAATGTGTGTGTGTTTCTAGTCAAACATAATCAAACATGGTAGAAGAATCGTCCCCATGCCATGTTGTGACTAATTGTTTGGATATGTTCCTCCCGTAGAGGGGCACGCCCGACTTGACCGTACACCTATGTTTCACGAGTCTTCTAGGCGAGAGTGATTGATCCCTGGTGGTGCGCGGCCTGCCGATCCCGATCGCAGCGCGCGCTGCGGCAGCGTCGGCCCGCGCCCTTGTGCGTTTGCCCCCCCCCCCCCCCCCCCCCCGCGCGCCCTCCGAAACCCGCGCACAGAGAGAGTCACTCAGGGGAAGGGTCACTCCTCCTCCCTCCTCCTCCTCCTCCTCCTCCTCCTCCTCCTCCTCGCTCCTCCTCCTCCTCCTCCTCCTCTTCTTCTTCTTATTCCTCCTTCCTCCTCCTCCCTCCTCCTCACTCCTTCCTCCCTCTCCTCCTCCCTCCTCCTCCCTCCTTCCTCCTCCCTCCTCCTCCCTCCTCCCTCCTCCCTCCTGCCTCCTCCCTCCTCCCTCCTCCCTCCTCCCTCCTCCTCCAGCCGCCGTCCCGGTTCGAGGCTTTGGGTGCAGCGGCCTGGTACCCAGCACCACGAGCTGCGAGCCTCCTCGGGACACGGCGGTCAGACGTGCCAGCCCGCGCCGTGGCGTGCCATAGGCGTGCGGGCCAGCCGTGCTGCTGACGCGGCGTGCGCCGCCCCGTGAGGGCGCTCACGGCGCGCGAGCCAGCCTGGCAAATGCGAGCTCGCGAGCGGCGCACGCAGTCGCGCACCCTGCTGCGAGTGGCTGCCGCCGCGGCGAGGGTGCGCGAGCATCACAGCGCAGGCCCCACGAGTGGGACGAGCGCTGGTGGCGGCAAAGGCGGAGCTGGGCCCTCTGGAGGACACGGACACGGAGGCGAAGGGCGTGCCGCAGGAGCTGCAGGAGGGCGAGCTCCCTGGCATGTTCCGCCGCCGCCACCAGGATGGTGGTGCCCGACGTGCGGAGCGCTGAACGGTCCTGCTGATCTGCTGTGTCGGACGTGCATGCCGCGCGGTCTCCCAATGTCTCCCAGCACGTAGAGACGACGGCAGTGATCCGAGCCAGCAGCGACATGAGTCTCGACAGAAGAAGGACCGTCAAAGATCAGCGTCTCGCCGTCGACGCAGCCGCCAGACGAATGAGTCAAGGCCGAGGTCCAGCTCCCGCGTGAGGCTCGCTGACGAGGAGTCCGACGGAGGCCACGTTTCGGAGACGGAGGATGAGTTGCGTAGTCCAGCCCTGGGCAGTTTGCCCGCTCTCCCGCTGGACGCACAGTCCCAACCAGCGTGGGTGGAGCCTCCCCGAGATGAGCGAGAGTTGGCGGCCTACAGGAGATCGTTGAGACATATGGCCGCCGCCACGGGCAAGCGCCTGCAGGCGGCCAAAGAGCTCGGCATGTCAACCGAGCAGATGCGCCCACAGGAAGAGGAGTACGCGGTCCAGCTGTGCATGATCATTTCAGCTCGGGCCCCAGGAGTTAGGTGTGACAGACAAAGAGCGCTCGTACAGCGTGCCCAGGTGAAGCTTGACAAGGCCCATGCTGCAGCTGACCTAGCCCGTACCACTCTGGAGGAGAAGGAGGCCAAGGTGCTGCAGCGTGAGTAGGCGCTCAGTCGTGCCAAAACGTTGCTGGACCAGCTCGAGGCCATGAGACCCCAGTTGGACGCCGACGTGAGCATGGAGTTTGCAGCAGCTGCGCCTACGCCACCGGCGACAGGAGCAGTCCCTGGCACGCCGCCAGACCAGGCGCCGCCCGTCGCCGCCATCGCGAAGCTGCAGGCAGGGCAGACGCAGCTGACCATGCAGCTGACGTCGCTCGCGCAGCTGCTGACGACGCTCCAGGTGAACACGAGCACTGCACGAGCGGCGTCGGGCCCCGGTACAGGGATGGAGGCTGCCACGGGCGTGGCGCCGTTCGCGGGGCAGCCGCAACGGCTGGCCCCCGCGGCTTGTGCCCGCGGCCGCCCCTTCGGCGCCGCCGCGCGCCGAGCCGCCTGGGCCTGCGGCCGCTGCCCCAGACGCGTTGGCGCCTCGCGCCGACCCGCCGCCTGGGCCCGCGGATGCCGCGGCCGTGCTGCCCGAAGCCGCCGCCCGTGCGGCCG